CATCAACCTCTACCGCGCAGACGTCAGCCGATGTGACGTAGCCGGCTGAAAGCTATGCCGATCCTGCTCCAGTCGCCATCTTGAATTGTGGAGCAGAATCGGCACAGCTATTCGACTAAGGACAACAACTTGCCTCGTTCCATGTGGCGTCTAGGACGAGTTGTGAAGTTCATTGCTGGTGAAGATGGTTTTGCCAGGGTAGCCAATGTCCATACTTCTGATGGAATTATTGCACGAGCTTTGGCTCGGCTTTGTCCTCTTCCTGTTGTCAGTTAATCCTTCCAAGGCCGGGGGCATGTTCCGAACTATACCCTACGCTGTGTAATGGCGGAGGTGAAGTCAAGTATCAGACTCGCAGACGTTACCAATCAAGTTGTTATCGTCTCCGTAGTCAAGATACGGCGAGCTATCATTTATTATTATTAAAAAACTGTCAATTTGTTTTTTTTGTTATCTGTATTAATTACCTTGATAAATAGATATATACTAAAATATACAGTCCACTACACACGTTACAGTCATTCTTATCTGGTATTGCATCATTCGAGGTCAATGACCTTCAATACTGCCACGCTAGCATAAACTGTAACCTGATATATTATTTCCTTTATAATTGCAGTGTTAGTAAAAATTGCAACTTGATATTCTATTTCCTTTAATACTGGCACGCTAGTATAAACTTTAACCTGATATATTGTTTCCTTTATTTTTCGCCGTCCCTCAATGGACGAATCCATACAAAAGGTGGAATGGCGAACGTATTACCCGTACGTAAAGTCCTTCAGAAACAACGACGTCATTGAAATCATCATCAATCAAGCCGATGTTTTCGATGCTACGTACGACGGTCTGATACGTATCAGCGGAAAGATTACAAAGGCTGGTGGTAACGGGGACGTATCCTTCGTAAACAACGGCGCACATACTTGTGTTATTCCGACGAGGATTCCAAGCACTTATCTATAGCCGGATGGAATTATCCTGATGCGTCAACTCTAAATGCCGATAAAGCTTTTAATTTCCTCATCCCGTTGAAGCATATTTTCAATCTTTTCAACAACTATCGCGTGGTGACGTGTAGCAAGCAATGTATCAAATTGAGCGATTCCAATTGTTTCTTGGTTAAGGAGAAGGTGGCTACCGATAAAACCACAGTGACTCTGGATATTCAAAATATTGAAGTCAAAATTAAGCAGCTATACCCTAACGATGAAATAAAACTTAGCTTACTAAAAGCCATCAAAGCCGATACGCCCATACCGTATAGACAATAGGATTTGCGTATGCTACCTGCGCTCACGCCTGGCGCTACAAAAGAAATTTGGGTCGTTAAGATACGTCATCGTCGGTTTCCAAACGGCCAAACAAAACAAATTCACAGAAGATCCTACGCACTTTGATAACATCGACATTACCAACATTAGATTAACGCTGAACGGCAAGAGCTTCCCTAACAAGAGGATGCGATTAAATTTTGCAAAGAACGAATACGCTGAAGCTCACTACAACTACACCGAGTTTTATCCAAGTTACTCGAATACACTGCAGAAGAAATCTTTACTAGATTACTGCACCTTTAGAAATCACGCCCTTTTCGTCATCGATTGCTCGAGGTGGGACGAAAGCATAAAATCGTCTACCGTGGACGTAAGATTGGACATTGAAGCAGCACAAGGTTTTCCTGGTAATACCAGCGCCTATTGCATAATCGTACACCTCCCACTTTGCGAAATCGAAAAAAAAATCTAGCTTAAAAAAATAAATCTAAGTAATTGTTAGTTAGTCGTTTGATAATTGTCCGAGATGAAGGTTGTGGCTCTAGACATCTAGGGATTTATGTTACTGAGTACAGGTGGAGGTTATGAATTTTATCCTAAGGAAATCACGATTCAGGATGCGCGCCAAGTGAGTCATTATTTGATTAAACCGTAGTTTATCTCGACCCAATCAGAAGCAAGTAAGATATACGGAACAAAATATCCACGGCATCCGCTATTCATCTAGAGACGTAGAATATAATGCACTGAACGCTATACTTGGAGATCATCTGCTGTGTAGCGATATAATTTATGTGAGAGGACGTCAACAGCTAGATTATTTAGAGAAAATACTATCGCAATTGGATGTACCCCGTTGTTCATATCATATGAATCCAAATAAAACAGTCAGATGCAGCAGGTGGAACTGCGAGGATCTTTTCCTTTGGGTATATAACCTATTGCCGCAATGAAGAAGAAAACAGTTACTTTCAACGAATCTAAAAATAAAGTGCATCTAATGAAAACGTGGACTTTTGCATCTACTGCAGCTCGGCGTAGATACTGGGAATTTTTTGCTGCGGATAGAGATACATTCAAGAGAAGAATTGAAACGATTTCTAAAATTCTCGAGCCACTATTAGATAAACATCTTGAAAAAATTCGCCAATTAAAATCCGCAATAATACACTACGATAACCTATGTAAAATGACTAAACAGTTTCAAAAGATGAACATTCAAGACAAGTGGGATGATGTATTTACGAATCCTCATCGATTTTCCGCAACGAAAAATGGACCTACATCTACAAGAATTGTACCAATTACGTTATAATATTACATTTACTATATGTCTCTACCTGTCATGTATAAGAAAAACGTTATAACACTTTATAAATCATTATGTACCTCATTCGTTTATAGACAGTGGTATGTTGCTTAACAACGATGGCCGTTTTACGTTCCAATTTCATAATTTTAACTGCAGTACTACAAAATGTGTTGTATGTAGATGATATACACAACGTACACGAAATGTATGTATGCTACAGAAATGTTAGCGAGAATGATACATGCCCACATACGTTAATTCAGATGAGACGTAATATAGTTAATGGTGGAAAGCTGAGGGTCTTCGGGACGTCAATTCCGGAACATTCTAAATTCTACAAATTGAGAATAACGTTTCAAGATAAGTCAATTGGAGATTTCGATACCTGGAGGTCATTACCTATTTTAAACTGCTCCGATTATTAGGATATATACGCAGATCCACTCATCGTGGTGTACGAAAACAGATATGAATACAATTTCTGGGCTTATTTACTTTATAACAGTTGCTGCAATTGCATTAGTACTGAAGAGTATCGCAAAAATCATTCAAAAGTATTATGGTTAATGTAGCGAAAACAGCATACACTCCATATTTTTGCCGCAGTCCTCCAGATTGATTGGTATCAACAACATACGGTTCAGTAGTTCATAAGTCAAGTGTAGCAATAGGTGATTTTAAAGAGAGCTTAATGTCTGGTAGAAAGCCGATGGAAGTAATGCCAAATTCCGTTCCTGAGGACGAATGCTGGAGACCGCCTGAAAAGGTTTGTCGAATATGTCGAAGGCGAGAACGAAACGTAATTTTTCAACCTTGCAAACCCGTGGTCTGCTGGATTTGCGGAATGCATATAAAATGTTGTATTTTATGTTATAAAGAATTTGATGCTACTGTGGCAATTTAACTCTGTATTATGATAGGCTATGAAACTAAAATAATAAATGTTGCAACTCGTATTGATTACAGCACATCCGTTGATCTTCTGGTGCTGGTTCTGGATCTTTTATGCCTATAGGCAGACTGCTTGTAATAAAACTTTTATTTCAATAAATTATACATTAACAAAATGTACAGTGACGGAGCTTGTCAAACAAAAATTGGACAGAACATTGACACTTGCACACTCGTCAATAATAAAAGGAAAATACACAGTTTGGGATCAAACATACTCCCCCCCGTTGAAAACTTATGAGTTTTTAACTAGTTTAAAGGTAGGACACATAATTTTGTGATAGGACGTAAAAAGATACCTGCTTTGGTTTTAATCTCAACTACCCGTGCGCGACCATCGCGACCAGGAATGATCTTAGTAACTCGAGCCAACGGCCATTGTAAAGGAGGCACATTTTCGTCTTTGACGAGCACTAGCGAATTTTCATTAATGTTAGAATGAGTTTTAAACCATTTAGGACGACTTTGAAGTTGATTTAAATATTCTGTTCGCCAGCGCTTCCAAAATTGCTGTTATAACTGTGTGCATTGCTGCCAAAATGATAAGCGGTTGACCGGTGTTTCGGTTATGTCGCGTTCGGGATAACTTGTTAGCGGTGCGTGAATAAGAAAATGACCTGGAGTTAGATACTGTAAATCGTTGGGGTCGTTCGATAACGAACACAGCGGTCTAGAGTTAAGAATGGCTTCTACTTGATTAAGCACTGTAGCCAGTTCTTCGTAAGTAAGAGTTAAGTTTCCAATTACTCGTTTAATGTGATATTTAGCAGATTTGATGCCTGACTCCCAAATACCACCCCAGTGCGGACTATGTGGTGGTATGAACTTCCAAGTGATACCTTGGTTGGCGGAAGACTCTTAAACTTGCAAAATATGATGTTTATTAGAGAGTAATTCATAAAGATCTCGGAGTTGGTTATTTGCACCAACAAAGTTTAAACCATTATCACTGAAAATTGTATTGGGCTTTCCGCGGCGAGAAATAAAGCGTTTTAACGATAACAGAAAGGTTTCCGTTGTTTATGACAGACTTTCGTAGGCGTGATTGGCGAATAAATAATGGCCCACCATAGTCTACACCAACTTTTGAAAATGGACGCGCAGTTCTTACTCGGTCATGTGGAAGTGCTCCCATCAGTTGTTCTGCAGTGATTCTTTTAAACGGAAACAAGTAACACACTTGTTGATTATCTTTTTAACTTGACGTTTGCCATTTAATGGCCAATAACGAAGTCTCAGATGTGCTAAAACCAGTTGTGGTCCTGCATGTAACAGAGAAAAGTGTACAGATTGTATTATTAAAAGTGTGACGTGATGGTTTGGAGGAAGAATAAGAGGATATTTTTGGTCGTAACTTACATCTGCGTTTTGTAACCTACTTGATACACGTAACATCCCGTTTTTGTCTAGAAATGGATTCAGAGTTTTTATTGAGCTTTTACTTAAATCTCCATTGTTTGTTAAAGCAGCAATTTCTTTGCTAAAAGCTTGATTCTGAACAATTCGAATTCTATTTCCACGATTCCGGCATTTGGAAAATAATAATAGTCGTATTTGCAGAGCCAACTGGGACCGTTCCACCAAATCTCATTCGTGATGAGTGAATTTGGATCTGTTCCGCGAGACAAAACATCGCTTGGATTGTCTTTTGTTTTTACGTGGCTCCGTTGAAACCCGTTGGTCAATTCTTGAACTCTGTTAGCTACGAAGGTGTTCCATCGACCTGGAGGTGAATTTATCCAATTAAGTACAATAGTTGAATCAGACCACAGATGCACTTTGGAAAGTTTTAAATTAAAAATGTTGATTATCCGACGCGTTAGACGTGCCATAAGCAAAAAAACCGCACAGTTCTAAGCGAGGTAATGTTATCAGTTTGAGTGGTGCTACTTTCGATTTTGCACAGATTAGCCTTGTACTAACTACTCGAGTGGAGTACAAAACACAAAGATAAATGCACGTACCGTATGCCTTTTCTGAGGCGTCAGAAAAAGCGTGAATCTCTATCGCAATTATAGAATCACTGAGAAATAGCCACCGAGATACAGATATGGCGGTCATTTGTATGATACCTTTCTCGAATTCTTGCCACTGTTTTAATATATCAGGAGGTAGGGGATCATCCCAATTGAGATTTCTGGACCAAATTTGTTGCAGTAGTAGTTTACCTCGAATTATAACTGGTCCCAAAATTCCCAATGGATCGAACATTTTTCCGATAAATGATAAGATATTTCGCTTAGTACAATTAGTAACCGGTTGATCGATTGGTGAGCTAAACTGAAACATATCCGTAGTAGGATTGTAGCCAAGTCCTAAGGTTTTAACTGATAGGTCATTGTCTGTTAATTGAATGTCAACCTTGTCTGCTGAAGATGTGGTAGTATCACCGAGAACCGATTTTTGATTAGAAACCCATTTGTGGAGCTTGAAACTTGCTAGCGATAGTAACTCACTTAATTGAGCTTTGAGTTCTGCTAAACCTACAAGAGTATCTGATCCCGAGAGGATATCATCTACGTAGGTATCTTGACGTAAAGCGTTACTAGCTAATGGATAGTCGATTGCGTAATCGTCCACTAATTTGATTAGGCTTCGTGTTGCTAGACACGGAACTGCGCTTGTTTCATACGTAACTGTTACTAACGTAATGCATTGTAAAGGATCGTTTGGATTATCTCTCCACAGAATGCACTGCAAGTCAGTGTCTTGATCTGCTACTTTTATTCCCCGATACATCTTTTCGATGTCTGCTGTAATCACGTATTTATGTGTGCGAAACCTACATAGTATGTCGAATAGTTCAGGCTGCACTGTTGGCCCAGTCAAAAGTATGTCGTTCAATGAATACCCGCTGGTGGTCTTTAGCGAAGCGTCGAAAACGACTCGTAGTTTTGTAGTAAGACTAGACTCCCTAATCACCGGATGATGCGATAGGAAGTAGCCATCGGTGTTGTCATTTTTGAATATTGACAAATCGAGATTTGAATATTTCGCGTGGCCAAGGGAAATATATTCATGAATGAATTTTTTTGTATTCTAGTTGGAGTTTTTTGTCTTTTGTCGTTCTAATGAGTAAAATGTTAAAAGATCCGCCTAGTAGAGAACGAGCTGTATCGTCAATGAATGGTAAGCGCACTGTGAAGTGGCTATTGGAAAGACTAGTATTTTCCACGAATGATTTTTCGCATAATCGCTCTTTGGGATTACGAAAACGAATGCTGTTAGTGTTAGAAGTGACTTCTTCTAATTTCCAGAAACGCGAAATTATTTCGTCGACGTCCCTTGTTGAGGTTGAACATAAAGCTCTTACTTGATGCGAGTAACTTGTCGGAGCCTTGCCCGTTACAATATAGCCTAACTTTGTATCTTGGAGAAACGGTAAGTTGTTCCCAAGCTGTTTTGATTTGAATGGCATTATTTCAATAAATAAGTCACCTCCAATGAGTATATCAACTTGCGTGCAGTATGATATTCTGGATCTGCTAATGTGATATAGTTAGGTATGATAAACTTATTTGTGTTAACTGGATAATGTAGTAAATCTGAAGTAATGCTGTCTAAAATTGCGCATGAAGGCTGTAATACGTGACTGTATTTTTATATCTACCATTTTTGTTACTTGTATCGGATTAGAAGATAAACCTAAAACTTGAATATTTTGATTGTAGGCCCGTAAATCGGTTTGTTTAAATAATTTAGTTGTGTAATAAATGAAGTTTGGCTTCCAGAATCTAACAACGCTCTTGCACGTATAAATTTTCCGTTAGCAATGACAACATTTATTTGCGCTGTGGGTAATAATACTTGTACGTTGTTAGTATTGTTAGTATGTAAAACCGTAGCGTTGGCCGCAGTATCGGATTTACTATCGGATGTACTAGGATCCATTTTAGTCGAAACGCCCTGTATATTTGAAGTTGGTTTATGCAAGTAAGTATGATGCCGCTTATCACAAAGTCTACAGTTGCTCGACTTGCACTGATTTGTTGAATTACACTTTTTTATGCAATTGTAACATAAACCATTTTTAGTAACAAATTCCTGTCTTTGATCCACGGTGCATGCCTTGAATTTAGGACATTGATAAATTGAATGTTTTTTGTTAGAACAAAATTCGCATTTGTGTTCGAAATGAGTATTTGAAAATTCGCTAGTTACATGTGTAAATGTGCGCTGCTTCTGTTTGTTTTGATTGCTGTGAGTGGAATGTGCCACCTTTACAAGGGCATTGCATTGACGTTCCACGACATCTAAAAAGTTTTCCACGGTGGGTAATTCGGTTTTTGTTTTTTCTAACTCGTATGCTTTGTGAGTATGGAAATCTAATTTTTTAGTAAGAATGCATACACGGATTACATCCCAATGTTCAAGTTTCTCAAGTTTTGGGCATTCCCTTTTACGATGGGAGGTATGTCCAAAATACTAGAAATATGAGCTTCAATAATGTCAAATTTATTATCGAAACGTTTTTTGAGTATTTTTAATGCTGCCGGGTAGTTTTCTGACGTTAATCTTAAATTATTGATTAAGTTAAGCGGTTCGTTTTTTAAAAAACCTTAGAGATAATAGCAACCTTGAATGTCCGTTAATTTTTGGTTATTATGTATCATATCAGTAAATGCATCGAAAAATGCGCCCATTCTTCAGCTATGCCTGTAAATATGGGAACATTCACGTAAGGGAGTTTGATTGAACTATTATCTACATAAACATTACTTGAGCTATTTTGATTTGTTACCGTATTGCCATCGTCTAAGAAAGGTTTACATAAAGCTAAAGTATCGTAGTACATTGTCTCGACTGCAATACGTTCAGCCCTCAGCCTCTATTTGATACTGTACATCTAGAAATTGTTGATAGTTTTCAATGAAAGCATCTTTTCTTACTGAAAGTTCGTGCTTATAAGCTATATTTAAGTGACCTTCGACATATTCGGGAATGCGTATCAGTGTGTCTTTGAGACACTTTGCCTTTTTTTGAAGCTTGTCCATGTTCAGACCTTTCTTTATAGATGTTGTATATAAATTATGAGAAGACTAGTATTTACTTTAGTTAGGTTGATTTTACGTTACACACAAATATTTTAAGATGTAAAATATCTTGCATAAGATAGAATAAGAAATTATTGTTTTTGGTTGCTAATCCTTCCTAATTTATAAACAATTTTTATCCGCACGTGTGCGGTGCTGCTTTTGTTGTTGTGTGGAACCTGTTGCTCATACACTGCTGCTATGGGCTGTGGAGTGTGGAGGTCCGAGCGCCGTTCCGTCGTCGTCGTCAGGAAAGCTCGCCGTGCCGTAGGGTTTCGTTGGGCTGTCGCGCTGCTGGGATGCTTCTTCGCCGTTGCTGGCTTGAGGCTGGAGAATCGCTGCTTGAATTCCCGTACAGGAACACCACTTGTTGTTGCTAGCTTGAAGGACCATTGATGTTTTCGAAAAGTTTTATTTATAGGTACATCGGCTCGAAGTGACCAGCAAATATGTTGCAACTCGTATTGATTACAGCATATCCGTTGATCTTCTGGTGCTGGTTCTGGATCTTTTATGCCTATAGATAGACTGCTTGTAATAAAACTTTTATTTCAACAAATTATACATTAACAAAATGTACAGTGACGGAGCTTGTCAAACAAAAATTGGACAGAACATTGACACTTGCACACTCGTCAATAATAAAAAGAAAATACACNTAGTTGAGAAAATAACAATGTTCGTTATTTTTTTTTATTGCAAGAGCTAAATCGTTCTTCTTTAACAAAGTAATTATTGTTTAGGTCTTAATTAATTATTGATGATCTAAATAAAATAGTATAGGGTAACAAAAAAATGGATTTTGAATGAGTTACTACAGTTTTCGCCTACAAAATTTTTATTGATAAACAACTTGCTACACTAACAAGGTATAAAAAAATTAAACATTTTCTATTTTTAGATAAAAAAATAATTGTTAATAATCAATAATGACATAAAAAGAAAATTGATTACTATTCAGTCAGAGTTATCTTCTTGGTCAATATTACTTTCTTCCTGGTAGTCAGTCTTACTAGCAGGCCGAAGGGAGTTGTAAAATCCATGATGCATCGGTGGTATCAAATTAGCCTTACACAGACCCAAAAGATCGCTTAATTTAAATTTAAACTATCAATATTTTATAGGGATCATAACACAAAGTAATTTTTCACGTAGAATTCGATAATGCCATAAAATATATAGGTTTTTTCATTTTGTGCAGCTCGGAAAAGTAGGCAACTCTGTAGAAAAAAAATTAAGTTATATCTTTTATTAACCTAGATATTGGACTTAGCGCACTAGGTGGACACGGTGTATAGCAGAGTGACGTTTTCTTGCAACTTCAATCACAGCATGCATACTGTCATTTTCATTCTGAGTATGGCCAATTTCAAGAAAACGGTGTGTTATTTCCAATTCCGAAGTCATTGATGCATAAGCAAACATCGCAAAAACAAAACTATTACGGTTTTGACTACCGCAATTATCAGAATAAAGAATAACCTTTCGTATGCCATTTTCTTTAACACTTTTTAAAAAGATCCATAAACAACTTCCAATTTCATCCGGTCCTCTCTTCGACATTTGCTCATCCATACATAGCAATAGCCTTGATTGCTACCTAAATCATAAATTGTAAAGTTGTATGTTGCGATTTTACTTATTTTATAATAAAAATCGCTGACTTCTGACTTGGGCGTTACTAACTACTGCAAATCAAAGCATGTTGTTATTAGAGATTTTATCATTTTTCGACAATTCTTTATCAATGTCTGCTCTTTTTCTCGTTGTGTCACGCACCTTACAAGAATATCCCACTGCCGAGTATGATCTCCAAGGTTCCAAAATTCGTCAAAAATGACTTTTCTAGCTTCTTCATTTATTTTTTTTGTTGCATCTATACCTGCAAGTTTCTTTACAAGGTGATTTCATTACCTTTGCAAAAATAAGTTTGTCTTTACGATTTTTATTTAAAAAATTTCATTCAAATTTGAAGTTATAAACTGATTCTGTTTCACTCACGCAGCGTGCAACACGCAAACGCAGCAGACATGACAGAAGCTATTTACATGCTGCCATCTAATCTGGATCGAGCTTGCAAGGCAAACTCTCCTATTTATTTGCAGCTCAAACTAAAGCTTATTAGTTATTTCAAGCAACATCTTTAAAATATTAAAAATATACTTTTAATATACTTACCCTTACAGTACTGATTCTGTTTTTAAATAATTTTTTAACAGAAAAAAACTTATTGGGATAGGTGACTTTGAATCGTCATTTCTCTGGCTCCAGCACTACAATCTACGAATACCTATTTGCAGTTCAAATTAAAGTTCATTTCATGCGCTATGCCGCTATCTGTATAATATAAGTATACTTACCACTGCAGTACTCATGCCTTTTTCACAGATTTCATTTACGCTGTAGCTCTATAGGCTACGTCCAAACTATTATTGGTTTTAAAATTATATAAAATTATATTAATATAGATAATAAACTTAAACCTATCGACCCAGGATACAGGGAATCAATAATAGTTTGGACATAGTCCGAAGGCTTTAAAAAATTTTAAAGCTCTCGGTTATTATTTATATTTTTATTTTTTCTTCCGAGCACATAACTTATAGGGCTATAAGATAAAGGGTTATTATAAGGTTAAAAGACTTACAGTTTGGGAGATATTAATTTCTCTCATTTTTCCTCCAAGCCCACGGTTTATAGATAAAG